CTTCAGAACATTGCAGAGGCCTTATTGACAGTATTTGGCTCTACATGTCTGTGTGAGCAGATTTTCTTTCACATGAGTCCTCGGGTAGTCGTCTGAATGCTGGACACTCGGAGACCTGTGTCTCTGAGTGGGAGACCAGAGATCACATTAACATGTGTGTCTCTGTATTAACAAACATGCCATATTGGCCCAGTTTATTTTACTTATCATTGTTGTGAGGAGACCATAAATAGCGTTTGTATTTTCTGTCGTACAGTTCATTTGCTGTTATGGAGTTCTTGTTATTGATAAAAAGTGTCTTTTTTTTTGTTTCGAAATAGCTGATAACTATTCGCTGATAGCTGCCAACATCTGCGAACAAATATAGTTCTATAAAGTGGTTCTATATAGTGTGTAACTGTTAATACAGACCGTTTTTAAATTTATTGCTAATACAATCATATGGCACACTGGCTTCTGAGGAAATTCTAAATGGCACTCGTCATCAGAAAGGTTGCCGACCCCTGGCCTAGGGCAATTTTAAACCAGGGCCTTTGCAAGTGACTCACGAGGTGTAAACCCTGCACACTTACAGTAAGTGACTTTGTGAGTCACTTGCTCAGCTAAGTGAGCTTAACCAGGTCTCTAGCTCATGCATTCATTACTTCTAGGCTGGGTCATTGTATTTCATTATTATTATTATTGTTATTATTATTATTAGGGTTTTTTTTTTAAGTTTACTAAAAGCTTCTAAATACTGTGCCAAACTGCAGCACAGAGCACCAAGTAGTTGGAGAGCTTTAAGGCCGGGGTAGTTCATGGACAGGGGTTATTAAATGGTAAAAATGGACTGGTTCTTATATAGCGCTTTTCTACTCTCCCAGTGTACTCAAAGCACTCTATACAGCATGCCACATTCACCCAATCACACCCATTCTCACAAGCACTTTCTCTATACATAGTGCTTTCTAAGTACATTTGCACTCCAATGGATGCATCAGAGAGCAACTTGGGGTTAGTATCTTGCCCAAGGATACTTGACATGCAGACTGGAGGAGCCAAGGATCGAACCACCAACCTTCCCGATCAGTAGATGAGAGATTTTTTTCCCCTTCTTCTTCTTCTTCTTCTTCTTTCTATTGCTATTGCTGGCTCTTGCACAAGCTCCACCCAGTGGTGGTGCCTCCCCAGTTCCCATTTCTCACCTGTCACACCTGCTTTCTGGTAAATATTTCTTTTATTTTTAAGCACCATTTGGAGTTACAACTTCCCAACAGATTGTTGTTGGTCAATGTGGTAATCAGGCCAGCTTAAGCTCCCTGTTTTTGTTTTTGTTTTTTGCCTTCTGCTAGTATGTAATCTGTTTTCAAAGCCAAATTTACCCTTTGAGACACTTATCTTCCATGAGAACCAATGAAAACAATGCAGAGGTGCCTTAAACCTGTATAGTATATGAAGACTGTGGGAAAACGGCAACAATTTTTCAGTCTTCTGTTGTCCATTTCTGGTGCAGTTTTCAGCTGGTGTGACGTTAAGGTTTAATGTTTTTTGCATTCATGCATGCTCTTCTGCAAACCTTGGTTATAATCAGAGGTGTAGTGCTATGTAGTAAAGCAACCATTACAAGAAAGCTGCAGCAAAATTAAAAAACAGAAAATCCGATGAGGCTCAACCAATCTTAAATCTTCAATAAAATCAAAAGATGTGTATTTTCTTGCAAATTGCATTAAAAAATATCAAAATCACAAGCTGCTGGCTATACATTTCAAATGCTACACAGTCATATAAACAAAGTGTTAAGGCCACCTGACACTGGGAAACAAAAAGTATCTGTGACTAGAGTCCAACTGATGGAAAAAATATTCTCTACAGTTTCAGCTGTACAGGTTTTGTAACAATGTAACAACGTTATGAATCATTGCCCCCACCCCCCACACTCCAAATACACACAAAAGCCTTGAAACACCACTAATAGTTCACTGACCCATAATGAGTCACCATGTTAGTTTCTTATTGACAGCTTCAGAACTAAGCGCAAACAGCACCAACACTTGACTCAAAGATAGAGGAATGGAACAAAAAGTGCACTAGTTCAGCGGTCCCCAACCCCCGGGCCTCGGACCGGTACCGGTCTGTGAGTCGTTTGGTACCGGGCCGCGAGAGCTGAGGCTCAGGTGTGAAATGTCTGGTTTTCAGGGTTTTTATCGGTTTTCAACGTTATTTTGTTATCGTTTTGATCGTTAACTCCTTTTTCCTGGGTCTTTTCAGGTGTGAATAAATATTCTTTTTTTCGATACCGGTACTAGTTTTATTTTGTTGTATTTATCCGTGACACATTAAAGGCCGGTCCGTGAAAATATTGTCGGGCATAAACCGGTCCGTGGCGCAAAAACGGTTGGAGACCGCTGCACTAGTTTATTTGTAGCTTCAACATTTCACAGATTTAACAAAGAAGGTCAACAAACGACTCAGGTACGGGTGGAGGAAGCCAGCACTTGGGTTTGGAGCAGATGTCGTGGCAGATAAGAACATTCATGCTGATGGACATCATCCAAACTTCTATCATCCAGACTACTGGATTAACAGAAAATGCAAATCAAAGCTACTATCAAAATAATCAAGGGCAAAGCTAGCAACTGTTTAACGAATAATATCCACACCTCTTCTGATACCATCTAGATGCCACAAAAGATGTTTGGAGGAAGAGGTGTATTACACATCCTCATTATCAGAACTGCTATCTGAACTCCTGTCATACCATCATCTTCATCAGAGGTTCGGCACAAGTCCCTGGAGTTTGGAAGATACTGAGGTACTCCTCTTTGATATTCTTCAAATTCTTCATTGTTATTTTCTTTGGTGACTCTGTGTTTGGCTGCCCAGTACCTGCTGCTTGACTCTATATTTTAATGTATTGACCACAAAATAATGGTATTTTAATTGACCTGCCCCATCTTTCTGTCTTTGTTTAGTTTTCTTTTAATAAGATGAAGGGCCATTTTGTTGGGAGGCTAGGCACCTTTAGTGAGGTCCCTTCCACCACACTTACAGATGTAAGTAAAATATCAAGAAACAGGTATAAAAGACACCGGTTTAGTTTGAATGAACTCTGCACTGAGGATTGCAGTGAAACACACTGTATTGCAGTGAGTAGTTAGTAGTGTAAATTGATTGTAGAGTTTGGTTTTAGAATTCTTGTAATACATTCATATCTTGAATATAATTCTGTGGGTTTTGTGTAGTATTAAACTTTTTTTCTTCTGTTGCATCTCCAGTCTTTTTTTTCTTTTTTTTTAATTGATTTGGGAAATAAACTAGTAAAAGTAATCAGTCACTCTTATCCTTATTATTTAAGCCAGAATGGGATAATCAAAAATGATACACTGCCTCCATATGAAAGGAAAATCACAAGTTTTCTAGTGCTGGGGGCTTAATGAGCCCATTACATTTTTGGTGCCTGAAAATATCATGGAAACTTTAATAATACAGATTCATCTGTGAAAGCAGCTAATGCATTCCCATAATTCATGAAGAAGTCAAACAGTCAATAAAACCCTGGTTATACTGATTATGTTATTATATTCATTATGTTATGTAAGTAAGTAGCTAACAGTGTTTTTAGCCTGACCCTTCAACAACAAGTTAAGATATGTTATACTGACGGTAAATTGTGAAGGTGATTATTACACTGCTGTAAAATGCTTCTTGTGAAGCTTGCCTTACACATAAAACCTTGATGACAAAGATGATGAGCTAGATTAAAATTATCAAAGTAAATGTAAGGTTTACATGTAATATTATCATTAATCAATTTTAGTTTGGTCAGAGAAAGCCTTGATAAAGGAAGTGAGTTACATTCAATAGCAGGAAGTGAAAATATGAGTGGACGCAAGTGTGAGAGGCATTTCATATTTAACTTTTATTAATTAAAACCCTTATATTCATTTTAAGTTAAAATTCAGAAAAACTCACAGGGTGGCATATCAGTGATGAGCTTCTTGTGGTAGATCTTCAGGAAAATTTCACCACATCAACAATGTCCACCGCCTTACACCGCCTAGTGTGGTTATATTAAATCTAAGAGAAAGAGAGAACTTTAAGAAATTAATATAGCCACTACAGTGACCATCAAAACGGTGAAAAAATATTGCCGTAAACAGTTTATTTTGCAACACCACGAAACAAACAATAGCGTAAAATGAAACGATAGACGTTTTTATATCGTCACCCGATATATATCGCTATATCGAACAGCCCTACTCATTAATTTAAAAAAATACTTGGAATATCATATGTTTATTCCTTTGTTTGGCTGTACCACCAAAATTACACAGGAAATGTTTGGAAATTACACCATAAAATGAGTGCTGTATAAATAATCATACCTTATTGATATAAGACTTTTATTTTTCTTAGCCACAGGGCATGTTAAAAAGTGTGAAATATGCATTAATAGCAGATTATATTTGAGTAAGGGCATTCTGAAAGAAAATGGGTTTCTTGTCTTACCTGCAGTAACGAGCTCCAAATGAAGCAGGGAGAAAACCTGTCAACAGGCTGGACTGCATGTCCGTTAGATTAGTTTATAACTCATAATTAGACTGATACTGGAATCAGTGTGTAAACGTGGTTTCCCGCCCTGTGTCCGTCTGTCTGGGATTAAAGCTGCATCTATAAACAGAGAGAGTAAAGCTCTCTGCCCATTAAACGCTGCTTATCGGGTGCAAGATACATCATGGCCCCACAGAGTCTCATGTGTGGATTACCCAGAGGTTATGGGGTAAGCATTGTTTCTTACCTTTTTCATGAGGGTTAGCGCTTAGAAGCATGTTTTGTTGGATTTCTACTAAGATGAGTTAATTATTTGCCTCTGCATAGAAAACTGGACGTATATTTGTGTTTTATGCAAGTATTTATGCTATTAAACCTCACACTGTGATAAATTTCTCGAATAATCGTGTTTTAATGGTCACATTTGGAGCGTTCTTGTCTGTGTAGTGCCATATGTCATTACGTAGATTATCGGGATTAATCTGGATTACAGCCACCACCCCTTGGTGATAACTGTTGCCCTGTCTGTAGTCTCTGCGCTTTGCAGAATGAGTTTAACTTGAGGAGAATATAAATGGACCACATACACCATGCAAATAAACTCACTGGGAAACATTAAGGTAAAAGTGTGTTCATCACAGTGTTATTGTAGTCAGTTTTATTTAACAAAAGTATGAAACAGTTTTAAGGAAAAGTGGAGTTATTGCTAATCTGATTATTAATTAGTAAATATGTAAGAAAAATTGTGTATGTTTCTGTTCTGTGTCCTGTGTACTGTTTGTTTGTATATGTGTCTTTTTGGCTGCTGTTACAACCAAATTTCCCCTTGTGGGACAATTAAAGGATTATTCTATTCTATTCTATTCTATTCTATTCTATTCTATTCTATTCTATTCTAATGAGTTAAGATGAAATTGATTGTGGCTTTTTTGTGTGCAGCTACTATTTGTTTGTATGTAAAATCTTAACCTACGTGGTTCAAGTTAGTATAGATGCCACACTGTGGTTCCCTCTCATGTGGTGGTTCTGAACCTGCTGCGGCAGATGGGGCATGGAGCACCAAGTAACAAATATGAAGTGAAACTAAGATGAATGTGTGGAAGGCTTTTAGAGAAAATAAAGCAAATGAGAGAGCCAGTGCTGCCGTGATTGTGTACATTGCAACATTTCACATTGCACAATGAATTTTGATTACTGTTGCATAAAAAAATCCACTCAAAACTCCAGTCAACTTTATTTTTTATCATCTTTGGCCTTCAGTTCATATACTGCCCATGATCACACAGGTGTTGCTCCCTCTTGCGTTCGTGATCACTTCTTGAACAGTTTTTGCTGTATTTCAGGCATGTAAAACTGAAAAAGTATACCTGTTATTTTTTTATTCCATGGTTTAGGAACAGAGATCTGTCTAGAAGTTCTGCTTGACCTTTGTGTGAGCTGGAAAGACGAAGTGAAAAATGCAGGGAACTGTAGTTGGTTACAGCCTGCGCTACTGGCTGACCCTGATCACGGGGTTGCTGGAGTGTCTGTTATTTGCCGGCCTGGTGTTTGGCCATGCCTCCCTGGTGTTTGTGCTGAAGAAAGAGGAATACTTTGGTTGGCTGTGTGTCGACACTAACAGCACAACGGATAGTAAAGGTGAGCAACTCTGGAGTTTAGATTGGACAGGACACTCATCCAGGACACCACAGATGCAGGTTTCAGATATATTTGTGTGTGTTTCTGTTTGTTTTTCTTCCAGACTGTAGTGGTCAGGATGAGCAGTTCTCGCTGGTTTTTACTGTGGCCTCCTTCCTCAACAACTTCCTGACTCTATTAAATGGCTACATATTTGATCACTGTGGCACACTGCTGACCAGACTGCTGGCAATGTAAGTCAGTGCTGAAATATGTCTGGGCTGCAGACCCAAACACACAGTTGTTAACTATTTCTTGCTGTTTGCCCAAAATGTTGTTAATCAACAATACTTTATAAGTAAACTATGATACCTTTGTAGGTCAGACCTCCAGCAGAATAAAAAAAAACCTTGTCTGCCAATTAGTTTCAGCAAAGAAACACAAAAAATCTGAGATTAGTTAAGATTAGCACATGGTAAAACAAGGCACAGAGATTAGACTGAAACAGAACCCACCTCATTCAACCCCAAAATATATTTGACAGTTTCTAGTATCAGTACTAATACTTGGTAATGTTAATGGTTTAATCTGGTTCAGAGTCCGGATCAATAGGTAACACTTTATTTATTTTCTTTTTTAGTAAATGAACTTTTTCTCTGCACAGGTTACAAAAAAATGTCCAAAAAAACTCAGTTATGTTTATATACCACTAAATCACACAATCACATACTATAGCTGCCCCAAGGCGCGTACTATGAAATCATCTACCTCACAATATTCAAATAATCCATCTCCCATGAGAAAACATTTGTTATTCCAAACCTGTTATGTTAATCATTGCTGGAACACTTAGCAATGCAGATTTGCTTTAGAGCTTTGGTGTAACATGTTATCACTTAAGTTTCTTATTTATTGCAGTGATCAGGAGAGTATGAGATTATATTGTGAGATTTAGGTTAGAGAATCTCAGTAATTAATTTTAATGAGATTATTTATAGAAAATTTGGTAAAATATGCAGTTATTCAGTCAAATTCATCTTTTACTTCCTGTCAGATGATTTATACTCAAACATGTGGAGAGACACAGAGAAAGTCTGTAACTTTGTAAAAACATGCGCAACAAGAATTATTACACAATTTAGGAATTAATGAGTGTTGTTGAGTCACTACTTAATTGTCAATACCAGATTATATTGTTCTAATGTTAATGGAAATCGTGCCAGATTATTTCTTTAGCCAGTGTTCATTTGAAGAGCAATTTATTCAGATTACAAAATACAAGATTTGGTACAGACCAACAAGCCTTTTCAAGGTCAACTTTTGCTATATATACAAAAACTACTTACACAAAACTCAGTTGTTTTGTGTATTTATGCTGCTGTTTTTAACTATGCTGCCCCCTGATTGGTACTTGTTTTTCAGCATTAAGCTGCATCTAGACTTTTCTGTTAAGTTTTTCACTCTCTTCCACGTTTCATCGTCCTGTCGAGAGAGGCTACATGCATGAGCTTATGTGGTATCTGAGGGGAGAATGGACAGTTTGAGTGGATTCAGAAAACCTTGCCAGCTTATGTCTGTTAACGCTCAAGGCGACTTCGCTGCAGGCCAAAATCACCCTCAGGCCACCAACCAATGTCTCAATGCTCCCTCATAGGAACTCTGCTCCTCGTAGCTGATGTCTGATGGCAAAAACGGAAACTTTTATGTGTCCTTATGATACTTTTCCCTCTCCAGAGCCCTTTTTAGTGGCGGTACATTGCTGGTGGCCCTCTCTAGCCCAGGTAGGTGCACAGGTTACGATTATTAGAAAACACATATTTATGAGTCTTTTTTTTGTTTGTTTTTATTAGATTCACCTTTCACCTCTGTCTCATACTTTCCACCTTTTCCATAATCCCTTCCTTGTGGGAATTTCGTGTTCTGGTCACATTGTGTTGGGTTTATTTGAATACCTGAAAGCTTATTCTGTGTGCTGAAGTGTAGAAATTGAACACCCTAGCTATTGTGACAACACCATTTTAGCTAATTAGCAGTTAGTAGTATAACTTGCATGTGCTAGCCAGTGTTGGCCTCACATTTCATATTCTTGTGGACAAACCTGTGAAAGAATCACCTTTGTTTTTAAAAAAAAAAGAGCAGCTGTGTTGGCTTTCTCATCTTAAGCACAAAGCAGGTTTCATCTCCTCAGCTACTGCTCGGTTCATACCAAACACGAATGACAGAAAACAGGTAAAAGTTGTTTTCACTACATGCCTGATGACGTAGTCACTGTAACACCCCTCGTATATGATGAATGCCAGTAAAATAATCACAATCACTGTGAGAATTATGCACAACTGTGCATAAATCAGGTCATTAACATATTTAACGCGTGTTCTTTATTTTCCAGTATAGCCATTGGCATTTGATTTCAGTCTCATTTATATCGTATCACAACAGCAGTTATCTTAAGGCGCAATGTGAATACTCTACAATATTAGAGAGAAAGCTTAACAAATCAGGCTGTCGCCTGTTTACAGGCAAGAGTTCCCTTTTAATGGGAAAAGTCCTCCGGCAGAAACAGGCTCAGCCTCGATGTTTGTGGAATAGGGGGAGAAGAGAAGAGAGAGAGAATGAGGGCACAGAGAGACCACGAACAACAAAACGCCCCATCAGCCTGACCTATAGAAAGTTTAAAGGTTCAGGGTCACTGAATCCATCCCTGACTGTAACCCTTTACTGCTGCTGGGGAAAGCAAAAAGTTTGTTTTCAAACATGATTATTCAGCATTTTAACTGCTCGTCAGCACTTCTGCTGCTCTGCTGCTCTCTACACCGTGACTCTGGAGTTTTAACTCTAACTACCTTTAATATTGTGCAACATCACATTCCTAATGTTTGTATTTCTGTGTCTTGTAGAATTTTCAAATCTGCTTTACCCCGCCCTGTCTCTCCTTGCTGTGGGTGGAGTCCTACTGCTCATAACTAACATGCAGGTAACTACACCTGTAGAAAGTTTCTGTTCCTAAACAGAAATACACTTGAGCCACTTCTAAACTTTCAAACATATTTTGTCCTGATGATCCGTGTATCTGTGTGACGGAAAGGTGGGCAACCTGTTCCCTGCTCATCGCTCCACCATCATCACCTTCTACAATGGTGCCTTTGACTCCTCCTCTGCTGTGCTTCTCATCGTTAAGGTGGGACTGATAATTGCTACACTCATATTTGTCACACACATTAGATGGATAAAACAACACTGTCCCCACACTAGTGCCACTACTACTTTACTGAAGTGCAGTTTTATTCTTATTTGGCAAAAAAAAAGGTGGAAACAAGCTGCATCCCATAGCTGTACTGGTGCACCAACAAATATAACTGTGAATTTGTGCTGAATACTACATAAATAAAATATTAGAATTTACATCCCTTCATCCAGTCCTGAATGACCCACTTCTCCCTATCTCTAAGGGAGAGCCCAGGCTCCCTACTGAAGCAGCTCATCCTGTTTTGTCGGTCATTACTCTCAGCCTATGCCCAAGGTGAGGATGGGAACATAGAGCAGTCAGCATATTGAAAGTTTTTCCTTCACACCCAGCTCTCTTCACCATAAAAGACTAGCATGGTATCCAGTCACTGCGGACTTTTCACCAGTCTGTCTACCCTAAAGACAGACTGTTCAAAACCCTGAGATACTTGGTACAGCAATGTGCAATCCACCCATCTCCAACTATAGACCATGGCCTCAAACTTCCAGGTGCTAATTCTCACTCCTGCTTCAGCTGCCCCAGTAAGAGCTGGTGATCATCCAACAAACCAACAGAACCACATCCTCCTTAAACAGAAGAGATGGTATCTAGATAGCGTCGCCTACTAGAATTGCATTTATCAAAATTTAAGCAAAGGCCTCTTGGATTGGCTGTAAGACACAGCACGCCATTTTATTGGTCAGAGCCACACACATATCAGAGGCCTAGCATAGCGACTTAAATTAGTGGAGGTGGGAAGATAGCCACCTGTGTCAGCATCCACCTATATATATATAGATATATAGATATATAGATATATATATCTATATATCTATATATATATAAGTGACCTTTTTTCCCCCTGCAGATTCTGTACGAACAGGGAATCTCTCTCCGCTACTCTTTCATTTTCCTGACCATCTGCAGCAGCATTCACGTGGCGAGAACTTTCCTGCTGATGCCAAAAACCCACATCCCCTACACTCTGCCTGAAAACTACACCTACGGGTGAGAGCATGATAGGTTTTTACCATTCAGGTCATAAAGACAGTGGGCGTCTTTGATACACACAAAATCTGTACTTAAACACACATTTCAAGCACAAATTCAGTATTATTAACATGTTTTTGTGTAATTTGTTCTTATTCTGTGAAAAACTACCTAAATAAGGAATCAAATACAAAATATTACTGACAAAGTTGAAGTCTTTTACCTTTTTAATTTAAAGTGGACGTAGCATTTGGATGGTGTAGTGATTGAATTCAGAAGTATATATTTTTCTAATTCTTGTTGTTGTTCGTGAAAATCAAAACCACCATTTTTTAAATCCCAGAACGAGGGAAATGGCTACAACAACAACGGTAGGTATATCATCACCAACCTCCACCTTTGTTGTAGTGTTCGTGTCGCATACGTCATAATTATGTCATGGGATGTTCGCCTACGTTGCTGTGAAGATGACCATACACATTAGATGGTATTGGATAGTAATGGAAAACCAGTCTGTAATATATGTTTGCACTGATTGCCGATCACGCTTCAACTGGGAGGCAGAGCCTTCAGTTTTCATGCCCCTCTTCTGTGGAACCAGCTTTCAGTTTGGATTCGGGAGACAGACACTATCTCTACTTTGAAGATTAGGCTTAAAACTTTCCTTTTTGCTAAAGCATATAGTTAGGGCTGGACCAGGTGACCCTGAATCCTCCCTTAGTTATGCTGCAATAGACATAGGCAGGTTTTTCCTTTCCAGTCACCTTTCTCACTCACTATGTGCTAACAGACCTCTCTGCACTGAATCATACCTGTTATTAATCTCTGTCTCTCTTCCACAGCATGTCTTTATCCTGTTTTCCTTCTCTCACCCCAACCGGTCGCAGCAGATGGCCCCGCCCCTCCCTGAACCTGGTTCTGCTGGAGGTTTCTTCCTGTTAAAAGGGAGTTTTTCCTTCCCACTGTCGCCAAAGTGCTGCTCATAGGGGGTCATATGATTGTTGGGTTTTTCTCTGTATCTACTGTACAATATAAAGCACCTTGAGGCGACTTTTGTTGTGATTTGGCGCTATATGAATAAAATTGAATTGAATTGAACTGTGTCATCCTCGGTAAGAAGGAATGGTACTCCACAGTGATGTAGTTCAAACAAATTTAATGAAGGAGATGGCAGATGGCATAAACCAGATGAACAGCATTTGTGGGAATGTGATTGAATTACAATATATTTAAATGTAAAGGGGGTGTGAGTGTGTGTGTGGTCAGGTGGTAAGCATGCACATAGTATTAACTCACACAAGTAAATACGTTACTCCTCCAACACACCTGTGCAGAACCGCACCGAACACGTTCCCAAATGGAAGTACAATGCTGAGGTGCATCATGGGTAACGTAGTCTAAAGAAGGTGCCGTAAACAAGCGGACTTTTAACACAGTCCATCCAAGTGGAGCTGTGGCGACTCAATCCAAATAGGTACCAATGGAAAAGGTGCTTTATTGTACCTACAAGTTTCACTAGTACAAAAACCAAACAAAAAAGAAGTTTTCCATGCTGGATGTCATTATTTAAACCCAATTTTCTTGGTTAATGAGTGAGTGAGCAGTGAGGTCCTGATCTTCAGGGAACAGATCAGGTGGTATATGTTCTCCACTTGCTTTCCGCTTTCCCTGTCACAACACTTTCTTTGTTTTCTTCATCTTTCACCACAGATGACGAGCATAAACCTTTTGATTTGTAATAATTCTGAGTCACTAACAAAAGAACAAAAGTGACCAGTTGATTTTGAATGTGCACTCATTTGTTAATCACACTTTTTTCTGACGTTCAGGATAAACTGTGGAAAGGGAAACACTGACACTGTGGAGGAGACTGAGATAAAGGAAGGTCCGCCGACACAGGAGTCCCCTGAGACGGAGAACATGTCGCTGGCACCCGAGGGTAGGACAGAGGCTCAAAACACAGAAAAAGGTTCTTACTTTACCATCCAAAACTGTTTGTGTCAAGTGTTTCTACTGTTTGGCCAACAAAGAAACCACTGCAGGCAAATACAAATACAAATACATGTAACAAAGTAGCATGTATTTGTTGATGTTTTACACCCAGCTTTGTGTGTTCAGTGCAGTCGTTCGGCAGCTGTGTCAAGTCTAGGTTCTTCATATTTCACCTGGTGTGGTTGTCCATCATGCAGCTGAGACACTACTTCTTCATTGGCACGCTCAACTCCATGCTGAACCGGCTGGCTGATGGTGACTCCAACCTGGGTAAGTCATTGTCCTCATTATCATCTTTGATCCAGATATTGTCTGACTTCATTCTCTTGTTTTCTCATCCATCCCTAAATCATCAGTGAGCCAGTACACCAATGCGTTCGCAATAACTCAGCTGTGTGGCATCCTGTGTGCCCCCTGGAACGGACTCATCATGGACAGACACAAGAAGAAGCCTCTGGCTCCGGGTAAATCAGTGAATGCTGTTAGAACGACTTGTTTTCATGTGGAAACTCCTTCTGAATCTCTCTTGTACTGTAGGAGAGACGGAGCAAGAGGCGGACCTGCGCTCCTCCTACCTGTCCCTGCTCCTGACTGCCCTGCAGTGCCTCCTCTTTTCTGTGTGCGCCTCCATTGCTTTTCTCCCGCTGCAGTACTTCACCTTCATCCTGCAGGTCCTCAATCGCTCCTTCCTTTATGGGGGGAATGCAGCCTTCCTTAGCATCGCGTGAGTTTATATCAAACACACATTTAAAACTTCACTAGTTTCGCTTTTTTGAGTTTCCCCTGTCCTCTAAACTTCTCAGTTTCAATTAAAATACAATTTCAGGAGGCAAAATAATTTCAAATTGAGGTAACAGAGAATTTATTCATCAGTTAGACACAGACACGTTATAATCCTTTGGTTTCTGCTCTTTCAGTTTTCCAGCCTGTCACTTTGGGAAGCTGTATGGCCTGGTGATGGCTGTGTCCGCTGGAGTCTCTGTGCTGCAGTACCCCCTTGTCTCCGTGGTCAGAGAATATCCGTTTTATGTAGGTTTTTACCCCTCATCCATAAAAACCTGATGAGGTATTACTGCCACCCTGCTAGGTGGGCAGACAGGACACGTGAATGCAATAGCTCAAAAACAGAGCGATGTAGGAGCTTCAAATTGATGTCATACGTGTATCTAATAAAAATCTCGGACAGGTGCCAATCTCAGTGACCTCAAGGTTAAGGTCAAACATAGATTTTCTTTTTAAAATTTGGACACATCTCATTTAATGGGTTTACTGTATTTTCATGACTATTTACACTGTACATATCGTTATGAAGTTACGATGAGTCAAAAGTGCTGAAAAATTTGTAACATTAATAAGTACCAAATTCCCCCACCTCGATGAAGTCCTGTAAATATTTACAACAAAAAGTTGATATTTTGCTTCATTAAATGTCACTATACTTGAGTGTCTCTGATTGATTTAACATTGAACAACCCAGCAGTGGCTTAATATCAACACAGGTCAATATTTAATATACTTTTCTTGCATTAGCTGTGCTCATGTGAATGCAAACTTTTGTCTGAATCTGTTCCAGGTGGACATCAGTCTTATTTTTCTCACTCTGCTGGCGTTCATCCATCCTACAAACGTCTTCACCCACTGCAGAAAACAAGGCCGCCTCAGGAAGGACCATCCTGAGAATCGAGCCAGACACTCGTCTCACCGTCTGTAGAGAGACGGTGAGACGAGTGTTTCAGCCTGTAGAAGGTTCAGGTTCTCTTTGTTCCTGCTCACTGATTTAAACTAGAAACGCAAGCATTTGCTTTAATGTTTTGTTGATCCTTATTAATTCACTTTTGTGAACTGTTTTTTGTAATTATCCAATAAAATTTTGTGTTAAACACTTTATGGTTCAGAAGAAATATTATTTGTTTGAGCCATTTAACACAGATAGATAGATAGAGAGATAGAGAGATAGAGAGATAGAGAGATAGATAGATAGAGTGGGGCAAAAAAGTATTTAGTCAGCCACCGATTGTGCAAGTTCCCCCACCTAAAATGATGACAGAGGTCAGTAATTTGCACCAGAGGTACACTTCAAC